TCCCTCTCTCTCCCTCTCTCTCCCTCTCTCCCTCTCTCTCCCTCTCTCTCCCTCTCTCCCTCTCTCCCACTCTCCCACTTACCAGTTGTTTGTGAGTCGCATCCCTCACAAACATGCACTCATTCCAATGCTGTCTCTAACTCTGGTCTAGGCAGAGTTGGGGGGGCTGCAGGGTTTCCCTCTTCCCCCCGGAGAGGGAGAGGGAAGGAGCCAGCCACCCTCAGCCTTCTCCACCTACACACAGCAGACACCAACAGCCAAAACAACCAAGACAGAACTGCCAGCTGTTTCCGGTGCTGTGAAGAAATTCTTTACAGAGAGGGTTATCAGGCATTGGAACGGCCTACCCAGAGAGGTGGTGGATTCACCATCCCTAGAGGTTTTTAAAAAGAGATTGGACGTGACCCTTAGTGCCATGATATAGTAATTGGAGTTGGATCAGGGGTTGGACTTGATGATCTTGGAGGTCTTTTCCAACCCAATCGATTCTATGATTCTATGATTCTATGATTCTATGATATATGATTGTGAGCAGAAGCGAACAACATGAGTGGTGATTGGCTCTCCAGGGAACACTGTCCTGGCACCCAGTCAATCACCTCTGAGCCCCCCCAGCCTCTCAGGGGGGCCAATTTCAAACTATGACAAGTAGTAAGGTCTGCTCTCTATGTAACACTGAGAAAAGTTAAATTGTTTCCTGACACTCAGAAGGAAATAAAAGTCTGATGTGTTCATGTTGAGAACTCTTCATGTTAATGATTGCTTTTGCTTCCTTTAACTGCCTAGCAGTTGCTGTATGATCAGGTAACTTCTCTCTCTGGCCCTTGTTTCCCTTGGGAGAGGGAAGAGGGTGACTTTCAAATACTTATTTTGTGAGAATATTTATCCAACACTCCTTCTTTCTGTGAGGTAGTTGTTGTATTGTTTTTATTGATGTCTGAGCTGGGCATGGTTGTTTATTATTGGCATGCGGAGCTTTGATTTCTTCTTCCTGAGTGTGTCTCCTGTGTTCATAGCTCTCATACAGAGACACTTTTTATAGTGGTGTAGAAGTTAGGCTGATGTTAGTTTATTCTGGCTGGTCTTGGTTCCATCTATAATAACCATTATTTAGAAGAGTCAGTGCAAGATGATGAAGAGAATATTAATGGGACAGAAATTATGTTATTACTTAGTGTCACTAGTTGAACATACTGAATGTGTATATTTCATATATGGCCAGGATTCTTCACTAGATTAGACTCCCTCAAATTCTTTAGAAGGTACAGCTGTTTAAAAAAATATGCCTAAGAAACTGAAAAAAAACTTGGGATGTTTCATGGAAGTCTTCAATCTTATCTTCCTTGAAACACTTTGATTGTAGTTTTCAAATGATGCTGGTAATTTTTCTGAAGGGAAGCCTCTCCTAAATCTAATGCCTCACTGGTTGTTCTTGACCTTTCTCTATCTAGAATTAATGGTAGTTTTTTCTATTAAGAATACAGTAGTAAAAATTTGGGAACATGACTACTTTGAAACAATGAATGGCCAGAGGTTTACCCTTCTAGCAAGCTGTATCTAATTTTTTGATTTTGCTGTTGATAACATTCACTTCAACATTTTTCTGTATGTCAGTGTTTCAGTCTCTTTTATTTTGGATAGGAAAGTGGCATTGTTACAGCTCTGTGATGATATGCCTGGCATTGGTTTGAGTGGTTTATTGCAGTGTGTTATACCTAATTGAATATAACTAAAATGGATCTTTTTTATAGGGACTTGTGTCTACAAAGACTGATGTTTGCTTATAAGACCAGTTCTGGTTCAAATTCTGGCAGATCATCTTGTTAGTTTAGAGAATTGGGAAAGAATGTGTGACAACCAGATCTTCATAGGTCTGTATTTCATACGCCACTCTGTAATTCTTCATGTAAAATATATAGGGAATAACACTGCTCTGTACTTTGCATCAATAAATGCTAGCAAATGGTTTTACTAGTCTAAGTTGGCTCTCACTGGCTTTATTCCTTAAATATTGCTTACCTATAGATACTGGGTTGTGCAGATTAACTGTTAAAAGGTCAGTGAGTGATTTTTCTGTCTGGATTCCTTTGTGATGTTCTTCTGGTAAACTTCAAAGCAGGTTTTGTAATGAGCCCAAAATATTTGTTTTGTAGAAATGTGAAGGAACCTTTAAATAGAGTTCTTTACTGTACATGAATTTTTTTTGTTCACTGGTGCTAAAGCCAAAGAAAGGCTATTGCAGTAGGTCAGTTTGCCATTTTACTTAAAGCAAACACTAGCATTTAATTTCATATCTTCTCTGCCAATGAGAGTAACTAAGTTTTCAGTTTTCTAAGTATTGTCTCGATACTATTGGCTTAATACAGTATCTTCAACCTTCCAAAGAGAATAGGTGGGATATATGTGAAAGTAAATTTGTCATTACCTGGTTGCATTAACTCAGAAATAGTTTCAGATTGGTGTATTCTGTTGTAAAAGGAACAAAGGAACTGGAGTCAAACTGCTCTTTCTGTTGTGGAAATTCAAGCCTCTGCCAAGAAGTTGATAAGCTGCTTTTTACCAGATATTTCACCATGTTTCCACTGGAGTGTCTGCTTATTTTTAAGTTTTGGGTATATGTGTTTCACAAGGTTACCTAATGCCTATGAAGCATCTACAGGTTCAAAAACATATGGATGGAACAGATTAATTTGTGATTTATTCTTCTATTTAAATCTTGCTAAAAATGCCTCATTGGTACCTGAATCTTACTGTGGAAAAACTATGAACTGTAATTTCAGTCTTACTGAACAAGATAATTCTCAGTTTCTATGCAGAAACGTATTGAAAAAATGCTACTTTAATTTTTCCTTGAATTATTCAGAAAATCTCTTTGTAGAATACAGATATTCCTGTTTTCTGTTGCCAGAGTATAATTTTGTAAATTATCTTGTCTTTGGTTTTACAAGTAGATTAAAAGTGGTTTGAGTTCTCAACAGTTTTTAACCATCACTGTATTATGTATGTACTGACCTTGCCACTGCTGTTTTTTTTATCCTCTGA